TACCATCAGTGAATCTGGATTATATTAAGTGATAGGAATAAGAAAAAAATCTTAAAATTTATCAAACAGAATTGAATTTTCAAAAACTATTGCATAGTCTCAAAATATTTTGCTCCTCAAGCACATTTTCAAAAAACAGCCTTGAAGTCTATAGTGGTGAGGACCCTGAAAAAAGGTGACATTCTAATCATCCATCCAGCAAACATGTAGAGGGTTTAAGTCTATCACAATATGGATGATCAAAGAGGAGCATGGTAGCAGCAAGGAGACAGCAGCATAGGGCGGACCCACACAGTCTGGCACGAAGAAGGCAGGACCAAAGATGAGAGCTTCGCAAAGGAGGCAGAGGCCTGCTGCAGGCTGACTTTGGAGAGGTAGGACAAGGGAGGAGGCAAGTAACTGAGAAGCCTGATACTTCTCTTCAGTCTTAAAGGATGAGTAGAGCTTTCACTAAAAGGGACATGTGAGCCCGGGTACAGTAGAGATCATGGCATACCTAAAGAGGGAACCTTACACCCTGGGTCACTTGCTTCTTTTTATGTCTGTTCTCTCATTTGAAAAATGGGAATGATAATACATTTCCCAGCTTAAAGGGCTATAGTAAGGATCTAATGAAGCTTTTTCTAAGAAAGCACTTGATGATGATAGCTCTCATTTTTAAAGTGCTTTTTATTATTTTATAATAGCATCATATTTACCACGTCTATCTACAATAACCTAACAACACAGCTATGATCTTCATTTTACAGATAAGAAAACTCAAACTCAGACTAAACTCTTCCTAAAAGTATGAAATAAAGGAGCAGGGGTGTGGAATGCGTGTTCTATTCACCATGTCTCTTGGTTCAAAACTATAAAGTTTGACATTTATAAACATGGTTATATATAAATATGAGAGGGGGGCTTTTTCTCTCTTATCCTGAGAATATTTTTAGGAGACTTTGTATTTTAACTCACTTTCACGACTTAAATTTAAAATTCAGGATTTTTGACCTAAGAAATTAAGGGTTAACATTTTTTTCAGGACAGTTGTCAGATCGTCTTGTGTATTACAAATACTATCAGAGGAGTGCTTAGGTGGCTCCGTTGGTTAAGGGTCTGGCTCTTGGTTCTGGCTGGGGTGGTAGTCTTGGGATCCTGGGATCATGTCCTGTGACCTGCTCCATGCTCAGCATGGAGTCCACTTGGGATTCTCTCTCTCCCTCTGCCTCTGCCCCTGCCCTCCTCTCCTCCCCCCACCCTCACTCCCCACACTCCTCTCTCTCTCTTTCTGAAGTGAATGAATAAATCTTTTTTAAAAATACTATTATAAAAAGTATCCTAGTTAAGAAATCATGACTTTAACCTAGAATGTCACCAAATCTTTACTTGCCCTGTAACTAAACACCAGTTTTGCATAAACTGCGTTGCCAGAGGAGACTGAGTCTGTTGCATTATTTCACTTTTTCTTTTTCTTTTTTTTAATTTATTTCACTTTTTCAAAGGTTCCAGAATTGCCATACTCATGGCTGTCAAGGTGCTCCTCCCTAAGGATCTCTCCTATTAAAGCTTTGGGGAGTCTTCCCGTTGTCTTCCAAAGGAATGTTCCCAATAGCAGCCATATTACTTAGACTATTTGTATAGTCCTATATTCGGAGTAAAGCCCAATGGATGGGGAAACCACACCTTAACTTAGTCTCTTTGAAGAGGATTTCTTACATGCCATTTGCATCTCTTAACTCACCATTAACCAGGAAATCTAAGATTCTTGGGCAAAAATAGACAGAAGGCATTCAAATTCAAGTTTACCAAAGCGATTATGTGAATATTATACTTTTTTTCCCCAAGGAAGTATACTTATTTTCTTACTGCTAACAGAAATATGCTAACAGGGGCACCTGGGTAGCACAGTCGGTTGGGCACCTTAGTTTTGCCTCGGGTCGTGATCTCAGGGTCATAGGATCCAGTCTGCATGGGCTCTGGGCTCAGCAGTGAGTCTGCTTGGGATCCTCTCTTCCTCTCCTCTGCCCCTCCCCATTATGCTCTCTCTCTCTCTAAAATAAAAAAAATAGGGGATCCCTGGGTGGCGCAGCGGTTTGGCGCCTGCCTTTGGCTCAGGGCGCGATCCTGGAGACCCGGGATCGAATCCCATATCGGGTTCCCGGTGCATGGAGCCTGCTTCTCCCTCTGCCTGTGTCTCTGCCTCTCTCTCTCTTTCTCTGTGACTATCATAAATAAATTAAAATTTAAAAAAAAATTTAAAAAAAAAAGACCTTGTAAGATATTTGACTTCACTTAGGTTTAGTCTCTTCATCACAAGGGCTAATCATATCTACCTCATATATTGATTTTAAGGAATAAATGAGATGATATATATAAAGCACTAAACACACAACAGGGTTAGCTCACAGTAGGCATTTGGTAACTGTTTACTTCTTTCCCAACTCCTGGATTTGGGCCCTGGTGCTGAACCACACATCCTAATTACCCAAACTGTTCACATGGTGAGATATGATGGATGAAGGCAGGTAGGTGGTGCCAATACTCAGGCAGTCCATAAACTCTAAGGTCAACAGAAAAGATCAGGGGTGAGCCAATGTCTCATTGAAACCTGTGCTTCTCATATTTTCAGGAAAGAATGTTTATTCTGCTCAGTTTTCTGTCATTGTACAACTACAATGTCGAAGTAGGACAAAATTGTCTTGGAGATGGCATTCGGGAACGTGCTCAAAAGCCCATTTGGGTATCAATGAAAATGTTGGATTTTAGATAGAGATCCTCTCTAAACCTTTATTGCAGTACTCAGGACAAAAATTTCTCCTCTTTGTTCTGGACCAATCATTATATTAGAAATGCTATTTCAGGGATCCCTGGGTGGCGCAGCGGTTTGGCGCCTGCCTTTGGCCCAGGTCGCGATCCCGGAGACCCGGGATCGAATCCCACGTCGGGCTCCCGGTGCATGGAGCCTGCTTCTCCCTCTGCCTGGGTCTCTGCCTCTCTCTCTCTCTCTCTCTCTCTCTCTCTCTCTCTCTCTCTCTCTGTGACTATCATAAATAAATAAAAATTAAAAACATTTAAAAAAAAGAAAGAAATGCTATTTCAGTTCTAAAGCTGTAAATTACTTATAAACGTGTTACCTAGTTTGGGGAACCTCAACCGCTTTACTTAATATTCAGCAAGCTAAAAGTGCCAGCAAATCCAGGTGTGAAATCTCTCAGTTTAGCCTTGGTTTTCTATGGGAACTTACGTCATACTTTCCCATTATGTAAGGCAAGAACATCAATATCAAATATTTATGAAATTTAAAAGTAAGCAATCGATCTTATAAATGTGTAGCAATTTAAATCTGCAGGGATTGGAACGGAAGATGAAACCAAAACATTTTTTCCAGTTATAAATAAACATAAATTACACACACACACACACACACACACACACACAAAGGTAACAAAATATTTGCTGAAATCTGAAATAAATACCTTCTTTGTAACACCGGACATTTGGGAAAAGTAGTTCTAGGTAACCTTGTATTTGGTATGGGGAGACGATTTCAGAAATGCCGGGTGGCCTTGTCATTTTTACACATGTGCTCTAGAATGAAACTATTGGACTTGCATACCTGATTAGAGTACAGAGATATGAAAGAGAACTTCAAACAGGAACTTTTCTGGTCGCGGGGAAATATCTAAACAAACTGGGAAAACAGAAACTGACCTAGCTCATTTGGAAATGGGCTTGGTGGCTGATGAAACAGGTGGACTATAATTAAGCTACGCAATAAAGGAGTTAAGCACTTTCGTGACAACAAAAACACACACAACACACTCTCTGAGTGGGCAGTAACCCGGTGGGTAGTAACCAGGTTATTCATAGGCTCTTTGCTGTCTCTAATTAGAATATTCAGTGAGTGGCCCAGAACAGACACTGTCATCGTTCCGATGGAACCGGACAATTAGGGGGGGAAAGCGCAGAGCCGTCCTGACCTCTAGGTTAATTTCTGACTCTAGGAAGACGGTCGCTTTTCCAATTGTGTTCTTTTCACAGAGCCTTCAAAACAAAGATAGCAAAGCCACTTTACTCACCGAGAATGTTCTAGCAAGTCATTCTTAGCACAGTGTTGGCGGAAGCCACAGATCCAGTATCTGCTACTGTTCCTAAACTTGTACGGGTAAGTTCCAAGCATGCACAGCATGCATGTCATTAGGTCTCCAAGCCCTGAGATAAGGCGTGTCGAAATAATAATTTAACTGTCACATCCTGCATGGGTAGAGCTCATTTGTTAGGGGAATTTGCCCCATTGCAACCCCAGAAGGAATGTGAGACTGGCAGCTTTTATTTCCTTGTGAGAATTTTCCTATACACCTCCGAATTCCTCTTGAAATGTGAGCGATTAGAGAGAAACGATCTTTCAAACCAGAAAGCTCACCGAGGATTTTTTTTTTTTTTGGAGCTAAATCATCTCAAAATAGAAAGACGGGCATTAAAAACGCGCTGGTCAGTTCCAAAGTACCGGGTGCAGCCAGAGGGGTTCGGGAGGAAACCGGAGGCCTCCGGGCGCAGGGGTGGGGCACAGCCCCGGGAGCCGCGCGGGGACCCGCCCCAGGTGCGCAGGCAGGTTTGCTTCTGTGCTTCCCGGAGCTCCCGCGAAGCCGCCCCCCGTGACTGCGCTGGATGCAGGACACCGCGGCCAAGACGCGAGGAGAAGCATCTCTCCCCAAAGGGTCTCTTTTGCGAAGGTGTCTGGTCTCTGGCCCCGTCCCCAGCCCCATTCCCTCCGCGCTACAGGGAAGAACGGAGCTTGGGATGCTGGACCTGCTTCCCGGTCTCTGGGTTCCTAGAACCGGCGGTCTCCAAAGAGGGGACCCGAGGCTCCCTAACTTTCTACTTGGCCTGTTCGGAGCCGCATCGATTCCTGCACGACCCAGACGGGGGTAGTTAGGTCTTCAGCGAAGGACTCCGGCCCGACAGCGACGCGCCCCGTCCCACCCGGCTCCATCCCCCGACCCCGGCGCGGCTCCTACCCAGGCTCAGCAGCAGCGCGGGGGCGCGGCGCGGCTCCATCCTCCTCCCCGCCGGGGAGGGCCGGGGAGGGCCGGGGAGGGCTCGGGGGCTGCTGGCGAGCGCGGCTGGAGGCTGCAGGGACCAGGCGACCTCCCGGCCCCCGACACCCGGTGTGTCCTGCGACTGAGCTGCGCGGCGGGGCGCGGCGGCCTTTATAGTGCCTGGGAGGGGCCCTGGGACTCGCTGGCGGGGCGAGGTGCGGGGAGCCCCGAGTTTCACAAGGGCCCGGGGGGGGGGGGGGGGGGGAGTGGCCGGGGACTGCCCGAGGTCATCCTCCCTTTGAGCACCTGAGAGTGCTCGGGGATGAAAATCCGCCCTCTGGCGAGCCGGGACCGCTCCCCGGACTTTTCCATCCCCGTCTCCGATTCGGGTGGCAGGAGGGGGGGGGGCGTGGACCAGATGCATCGGTTTTCTCGCAGGGGGCACCTGCCCTGCAGTGGGTGGTTGCAGCCGCTGCGGGCGACGGGCCTAACCTGAACCAAGTCACCCGGGGCGCGCCCCAGTAGGTGCTTTTGCAGAGCCCTGCGCCGGCCCGGTGGCTCAGCCGCGCTCCTCGCCTTAGGCGCCACCGCCGGGAAGTGCCGGGATTTCCCCTCTGCACCTTCCTTCCCGGCCGCTGTGCTTCCAGCGCGGTGCAGGCATTTAGGGCTTCAAAGTGCAGCCGTGAGAAAAAGCCCCAGACCCTTGTTTCCCTGTGCCGGGGGCCATCCCTCAGCCTGCTGCTTCTGACCTTGCTTCCAGCCTCTCGCACCCGTTACAGTCTTTGCGGACGTCCCCTCGCCTCTCCAACCAAGTCGCCTCGGGGTGGGCCCACCAGTCTCCTCCACGGCAGCTCCCACTAAGCTCAACAGAGTTGGCTCAGCTCAGCCAAGACTGGAAAACCCTTTGCCCGTGTTGCCTCCGGCTTTCCTGCCTTTGCTGATGGGGTCCTGGCTGCTTTTTACTGGAGCTGCCCAAATCCTTCTCATTTTCCTGTTACGCGGGAAGGGCCTGGATGTCTTGAGCCCACAGGGATCTCCTTTCACTCTGACCTTTTACAGCTTGGGTCGTTTCTCTGCCCCTCAGGCTCAAAGAATTCTAAATCTAGTACTTTACATAGGATGAAATGGCTTTGTATTGGTTTTCTTTTGTTTGTTTGTGAGCCTTTTGTTCAGATCTGTATGGACACATAAATTGTCTTTACTTTGTCTTGCATTCCCCTGTAGGGTGCAAGAAGTGAGCCAATTTAGAAGTAATGAAAACATATTTGAATGGAAAGTGGAATCTGCTGGATGATGATAGTTCCTTTCCTTTCTACTTTTTTTATTGTTTTCTTCTTATTCTTTTTTTTTTTAATCTTGCCCTTTTTCTTCCTCCTCCCAAGGGGTGCCTGGTAATGTCTACAACTCTGATGTTGGAAACATACTTTACCCTTCCCTCAGTGGGGAAGATCATGGGTTTTGCATTTAGACTGTCTGCAAGTAAATCCCTTGACGACTTATTTCATCTCTCCCAGTTTCCTCATATGTAAAATAAGGATAATAATAGAACCTCATAGGAAGATAATGAAAGTGCTTACCACAGTACCTAGCACAGAGTTTGCATGCATTAAAAATATTTATTATTGTACATAAACACTGACGCAGAGGATGATGGTACTTGATCAGTATTCATGAGTTAAATGAATTCATGAATGGGACCTTAGAGATAGGATTTTGAGTTACTAAGTCTAGCTTCTGAATCTACCAAGAAAACAAGTAGTAAGTGACTTCTCATTTAACTGCTATTTTATAAGACAACTAGCAGAACCAAGAAAGATGATCCCAGCAATGGGTTAGTTTTATGGAGCATTGATAGGGATCACAAGTTTGATAAACTTGAGTTTGGAAAGGGGACCACTGGCTACATAATGCCTTTTGTTTTACAGATTCCATTAGGAAAAGAAATAACACAAGCGTCTGGAAAACTAGAACAGAATTCCTAAGAATGGGGTGTCAACTGGAAATGTTTCCTTATTCCGCACAGGGATGCTGTCAGATACTTGCAAGGAGTGACAGGAAGAAAAATTTTATTAGTTCTGATTAATATCCTGTTTAATCAAATATACCGTTGTGCTCTGTGCTCAAAAGAAGGATAGGGTGGGAACGCACTGGGGAGAATGGGGTCAGGCTGCAACAGTCAACTCCATGGTATTGATATGTGGGGAGGAATTTTTTGACTTTGTAGTGATGCCTTGCAAGCATGAGATATCATCATGAAAAAATCCTTGTGCTTATCCTAAAATTTTCCATGGTAGTGTGCTCTTCTATGTGCTGATTTCACATGGTGTGAAGAAATCTTTTCTTTATTGGTGCTTCTATGTTTACTCAATTTTCTAGCCATTAGTTTTTGAGAATGACTCCATCATGACACATCATGGAATGGTTTGCCACCTGCCTCGGCAAAACAGTCTTCTTTTTTTTTTTTTTTTAATAATTGGGGACAATTTTCATTAATTGTTCATTTAAATATACATACATAGTATGAAGTACAATCATAATTCCTCTTAAAGGCAAAAAACATATTTAAAGATAGAACAGTTTGGGAAGACAATAATCAAGTCATATGGAACTTTCTAGTGGCATTACGTTGTGATTATTTTTTTCCCCCGAGGGGTTAGTAAATCTAAGTATTTATCTATAGGCTATAAATATATATCTATCTCATGCTACTTTAATATATTGAGCCTTTAATGGGATGATTAAAATATATTCATTTTAAATTGATCCTGAATTCAAGGTGGCTTGGTGGCACATGATTTTCAATTGATACATAACAAACATGTAATCACCATCAGTTGGAGAATATGCTGCAAAAATAACGTTTTTACATTAAAAGGAGGTCCTTTTAGAAGTGAGGAACCCAGACTGGCAGCATAGACGTATGGGCCCAAACTGGTATCAGCATTACAGACTGTAGCCAGAATAGGTCCTGGGCCTGACCAGAGAGCCAGCACCTAGCCTCAGACGAGAAGTTAGAAAGTTTGCAATTCTTTCATCTCTTGCTTTCTTCCTCAACTTAGTGCTCTTTGGGACTGCAGCTGGCACTTGTTTATTATGAAATCACTGATTTTCAAACTGACAACTAACCATACTTGCTTTGGTGAATTAGCTTTTATACAACACAAATGTTTAAAGTCTTTTATTAGCTAGTCCTTAGCAAGAACCACTGAGATGGAATGGTATTGGATTGCTTTTCTATAGGGAAGGCACTGACAAATCTAGGAAAGGGTCCAAGATCAGATTGTTAAATTTAATATTTAAAATATAAGACCTGGGGGAGCCTGGGTGGTTCAGTCAGTTGAGCATTGGACTCTTGATTTTACTCAGATCATGATCTCGGGGCCTGGGATTAAGCCCTGAGTCTGGCTCTGTGCTCAGGGCAGAGTCTGCTTGAGCTTCTTTCTCTCCCTCCCTCGCTCTCTCCCTCTGCCCCTTACCCTGCTCTCTCTCCGTCTCACTCTCAAATAAATAAATAAATAAAATCTTAAAATACATATTTGGGGCACCTGGGTGGCTCGGTTAGTCAGTCAAGCATCTGCCTTTGACTCAAGTCATGATCTCAGGATCCTGGGATTTAGCCAGGGGCATTGGGCTCTCTTCTCAGTGGAGAGTCTGCTTCTCCCTCTGCCTCTGTCCCTCCCCTCCACTTTAGCTCTCTCTCCTGTGCACTTTTTCCTTCTCTCTTTCTCTCTCTCTCTAAAAAGTAAAATCTTAAATAACTAAAATCTTTAAAAAATGGGGATCCCTGGGTGGCTCAGCAGTTTAAGGCCTGCGGTAGGTCCAGGGCGTGGTCCTGGAATCCCAGGATCGAGTCCCACGCCGGTTCCCGGCATGGAGCCTGCTTCTCCCCCTACCTGTGTCTCTGCCTCTCTCTCTCTGTGTGTGTGTCTACCATAAATAAATAAATAAATAAATAAATAAATAAATAAATAAATAAATAAATCTTTTAAAAATTAATAAAAATAAAAAATAAAAAGAGGGACCCCTGTGTGGCTCAGTGGTTGAGCTTCTGCCTTCGGCTCAGGGAATGACCCTGGAGTTCCAGGATCAAGTCCCGTATCGGGCTCCCTGCAGGGAGCTTTCTTCTCCCTCTGCCTGTGTCTCTGCCTCTCTCTGTGTCTCTCAAAATAAATAAATAGATCTTTTTAAAAAAGAATTAAAAATGGGAAGGTCTCTTGTTTTTCTTTCAGTGTATAATTAAAGTAGAAAAATAGAAATTGAGAATGCTTTCAAGTCTACTAAATAGTAAATTATATTTTCTCATTGATTGATCTGATAATTTGAGGTTTTTCTTAAATTAAAAATGATTCTGGGTCACCTGGCTGGCTCAGTCAGTATAGCATGCAACTCTATCCCAGGGTTGTGAGTTCAAGACCCATGATGGTATAGAGACTACTTAAAAATAAATTCTAAAATATATATATACATATATATATATATATTCCAATGTATTTGAAAATTTACATGGCATTTAAATGTTGAATGAATGGTGTGAGTGGCTAATTAACTGATTGGATGAGCAGAATCACTAAAAACAGCTTCTTTTTGTGGTTTAATTTGGATTCAGAACAGTAGGTAGAAGGAAACACGAAAGCAGTTGATATTTGTTCTTAAATCTAAATGAGATGAGCCTAATACTACTAATAGCAACTAATCTTCACACCTAACATTTTTAACTCACTAGGGAGCTTAAAATATATTGGTAGAGTAACTCTATATTTTGTTTCTAGTATACAGATGAGACTAGGGCAAAAAATATTAAAAAACTAGTGCAAGGCCCTTCAGCTCATGAACAGAGACAGGATTCAAATTAGACAGCCTGACTCTAGCCAGCACTACACTCTTTACCACACGCTGCATGAATTTTATGTGTCATATTTAGTGCCCTGAAAGTTCAGGGCTTGCTCTATATATTTTCATTTCGGATTACTTGCAAAGAGCATTCATATCCCTTTGTGGATAGTTTTTATACCCTTTCATTAGGAAGAACATTCTATGTTGTTTTCCTATTAAGGAGAAAAGCACACACACAAAAAGGGAGAAGATCACGTGTGCCAGTCTCCTAGATTCCTATGCCAAAGCACTTGTTAATCTTTTTTACTGTTCATTGCACTTATGAAAAACATTTTATTCTAAAAAACGTCACATTAAAATGCCATTTGTGAGTCTCATCAACAGAATCCTCCAAAAATCACTTTGTAATCACAGGCTATAAAAAGATCCAGACACTATTTGGTTTGAGGAGCCCGCCGATTCAGAGGCTGCTGCTTCTTGGACTTGCCCTGAGTTGTGTCCCAGTAATAAAAGAGCCTCCCCTCCCATCACTTATGCGTGCCCACAGAGCATTAATCACACACGTAGTGATGATGAATTAGGAATGCAGCT